CAAAACCTTTTAAGATTTATTTGAAATGCTTTAAAAACACAAAGTGAACTTACAGCTCGAGGTACAGGTAATCCACTCTCGTATAACATTCTCAGTTCTCGATGGGAGTTAGTGTGGAGTAAATAAGTAACTCGTGCTGAAGCAAGAGGACGTCCACAGCGAAGACAAACATTATGGTGGCCAAGTTGTCTTTCTTCATCATTATATCGGCTTTAAGCCAAGTCCCAGCATGCTTGGCAAACATAGTCACTATTATTAACCTAAAAAAGATAAACAGTATTATTAAAATGTCAGTAGTTTACAGTTAATAAAATCACTAAGTACAATGGTTTACTACTGTATCCAATAGCACGTTACTGAAAAGTGTTGACTTATTGCAAAAATAGTAGTTATTCATTTAATCAATTTCTTTAACAACTGACAGCAATTATTTTGTACTAGAATACATTTTAATAATATTCAGTAAAATGTAAACAGATAACCATCAGCATTCAAATAAATGTATTGTATTTTCAAAGTATAGTAGCATTAGTAGCGATGGAAAACTTCGAGTTGGTGAGTTAGGTTATGATTTGTTTATTGAACTTACAGTCTGAGGTGCAAGCCATTGTTGAATCACATGCAGAGTAGACTCATCGTTTAGGGATCGTCTGCCTAGTGCATTGCAGCGACTAGTGTCTATTCCACAATTTACACAGCGATCCATAGCGTCAATATCCAGTTCTTAAGCCGGTAGTAAAGTCCAAAGTAAACATTCCAAGTCAGACGTGTAAGCAAGATCCAGAGTCCAGGTTGAAAGCAGGGGTCGTTCAGGCAATGCATGTAGGGTCAAAATCCGTAAAACAAAGCAGTGGTCGGCGAAAAAACAAAAAGATAGGAGGAAAAGCACTCGAAACGCACACGCACGAAACGAAAAATACGAAACGAGTGATCCATAGAGAAATAGACAGGCAGCTGTCAGTTTCAGTGCACAGACTAAATCAGATTTTTTAAAGTATCGATTTAAATTAAAAATCGATTATTAAACTAAATGTTTTTTTTTTATTCATTTAATAAATGTTTTATGAGCTAAAATAATTCAATATATTTATAGCAACAACGCAATTAGTTATTTTGTTTACGTAATTCGCCTAAAATAAAGCAAGCGTGCCTTTTTTATTTTATTGTGTGATCTCATTTACATAAATCGATACTTCTTTAATCGATTTACTAGTAAATGCTTAAAAATCTTGTTTTTCTTATTACACAGTTTCCAGAAAGAAAAATAGGCTGATTTTTTGTAGTTTAGTATGGAAAAATATGACCATTTTTTTAGACCATATATCAACTAGTTACATTTAGGGCCCAAAAGTTTCAGTCTCCTTTCATAGATGTCAAATGACAAGTGGTTAAATGTTAGGAAAAAATGTTTTTCGAACAATGGTTAGCTTGACTTTTTTAACTATTAGTTAACATTTTGTTAATATTTAACCATTAGTCGCAAAATTTAACAATTTGTTATTTTAACTATGAATCAAAAAACTGGGCCTTAGGAAGTACCTACTCTATGAACTAATAAACTAAAAGAATTATTTGTAGTATGTATAACAAGTATAACAACTCTGCAAGAGGTCTATGTAAACTTTTGGATTGATGAATCTACGACCGCAGGAGTCGCAAGTCCATAAGCACTAGTCTCTGGAGACTATGTAATGCCCGTTGTATACATATGTTATATGTATTATAAACCTATTTTCATGAATTCAAACTCATTACTTAATATTTCATTTCACTTTTAATTACTTATGTAAGTAAAGCATTTCCTGTAATATCAGAAACACTATACACTCGTTACTAAACTGCATGTAGAGACATATTCAAACACCTACAACACATTTGTTTCAGGGCTGTCCCATGCTTGCTCGCAATACATTGAAAGGGGTATAATAAAAGCATTTTTTTATGCATAACAAGGCAGGTATTTGACCACATTGGTTGGTATTGAATTGTATGGACGTCATTTGGCTGAAACGAACGAATATTGTATTATGTGTTGACATCGCAAACAGAGATGTTGCGCGTAGTGGCAGTAGCGGAAGTGCGGCGCAGTCACTCCGCTGATAGTGTCGAGCAAAAAGCGAGGGCGCCAGAGGACAGCCGCGGGAGGCGGCGGGTCCTCAACAACCCGTAATAAAGCAGAAAAGGGTGAAAAGCGTTGCACCTGATGCGGTGAGAACGCGGCGCGCGCGCGGGTCCCAGCGCCGCGGTTTTTGCTGCTCGCCGGATGCGCCAAACTCGCCACTTCGCAAAAAGTCGCGGAAATGCGTGCGATATATTACCGACACGCCTGCTAACCATGTTTTGGACAGTATTAAATAATAAAGTTTAATGATTAAGAAAATGATAAAGTCCCTACACGTTCTTTGCAATTGCATTACCTAGGCTTATTTATGGCGAGGCCTAGCCACAAGACTGTATTTACTTTTATCACCTTTTGAAACCACCTTACGATAAGTTACGATTACTCAATTAGTTTTTGCACCCTGCATCGGCTCTACCTAAGACTCGTATCGAGGGTATTGGTGCTAATAATCCCTGAAAGCACCTAGAATATTGAAGTAGAACCCATTTAAGAAGCTTTATTTATTTTTATGTTCAGTGTGTCGGTAGTAATAAAATCTCACAAAGTTATTCATAAAAACTGCTATAAAAATTGGTATGAAAGGAGCCGCGGGAGCTCCCGGGCTCCCGGGCCGGCGGCCGACCGCGGGTGGTTTATTTCGCGAGCAAAAAGCGAGGCTCGGAAATGAAAGTTCCGGGGACGACGCTGGATCAGCCTGGCGCGATGACGCGGGCGCGGGCCGGGCGGCGCGGGCGGCGGCCACACCACGCGCCGTAATGGGGAAACTTGCGTCGTACACAAACGCGCCGGCAATAAATTTTACTTTCATTTCTAACTTGGTCCATTTAAGAGAACAAGCGAAGTAATTGATTCGAGTAGGGCAGGGGACATTGATTACAGTTTCGCAATCGTTTGTCTTCATAATATCCACGCAGTTGTTTGCGATCGGTAAATAAATGCGAGCCAATTGGATGTTCGTGGAAAAGAGCTAAGTATTTATTGATACAGTTTGATAGAGGAAACAAACCAGAAACTTTTTAGGTATATGTAGTTGTACAGTAGGTACGTAGAATACCATTTATTCAGCTACAAATCAATTACTCATATGAACCAGTTCTAACTGCAAACTACTATACCTACCATAAAAAGCTCGAATAATAAATAAATAATAATATGTATACATAAATAAATATCCTTGGACATTTTTACACTACGCTTCTAGTCCCAAACTAAGCAAAGCTTGTACCATGGGTACTAGACAGTACTATGTAGAATACTGAATCCCTTTTCAGATACATATTATACGACAATTTAAGGCTTATTTAATTGCCTAATAAATTGATTAAACTAGCTAACTGATCCTTTTTTTGGGCACATGGTAGGTACCTACCTATTCGTACTTTCTTCTAACATAATTATAATTTTCTTATTTAACTTTCGCACCTCATTCGGCAGAAGCCCGCAGAAAAGCTTTCATGACTTGCGTTTTCATGACAGTTTCAGCTTAATATACTCGTGTGGTTTCAGCTGACGTAGGCATGGCCGAGTCCTTTTTTCATCACAAATAACAACACTATTTATTGATTTTATTACTTCTTGCAATATTTATAATATTAAAAGTAAAGTCTTAAAAAATATATTTTTTATAAGTACATAATGTTACTAGCTTTTGCCTGCCTGGATGGATACAAACAAACTATCGTTACAAATTATAATAATAGCCTAGGTAGGAGCTTTGTACTGCCAAAAAATTATCGGTTCTTACAAAAAAAATAGTGTATAGTCCTTCGGAAGTTAGAGCGATTTAAGTATTTTCATCAATATCAGTTCAGTGATTTAGGCGTGTGGGAGCGTAACATACAGACTTCCCTTCTATGATCTGAGATACAGACAGACAGAGTTAATTTTATATTTATAATATTAGTGGTATTAGAGGCCGGTAGATCTATTCTCATAAAAAAAACACTGTTTTTGTCTAATAAATATTGCCTTAGTATACAATTTATTAGCACAAAAGCGCGGGGAGTCGTCACCGCGCATTGCATTCCTCTATTCTAACGTTTGCTCGTGTGACATTGGACATCGATCCCTAATTTTTAAGTGATTCCTATGGTAACACATACCTAACAAGAATTTTTTTTTCACTTGAAAATTTTTGATTTGTGATGAAAACGGGCATGAATCGCCCGGTTTTCCGGTTTATGTCTAATCTTGCTTATGGAACAATAAATTAAATATTATTGGATGGTCTGTAAAATAATTTACTCGTTGATGTTAATCCGTGGTTTAAACATTTAAAGTTCACAATTAATGAACTACCGGATGTACGACGTCACATGTTATCAATCAAAACAATCTTATCTGTAGCTCTTAATATTTAGGTAGATGGTAGGATAATTATTATGAAAATAGTAAGAAACAGTAAAAAATCGAGAACGGCTAGACCAATTTTCACGGAAGGTTTTGATTGAGAGAAAAAATAAAAGTTGCGTGGAAAATGGTAAAAACAACCCTTTTTTCCCTGCTGGTCTGTACCAGCTGTCAAACATTTGATGTTGTTGTCTTTTCCCATAGACAGAACGAAAGTCCAGGCGACCGGGAAGCTACGAGTAGGTATGTAAGTATGCAAATTATAAGTGCGGGCTTGATTAATAGAATTAAGTGATTTTGAACTGGTGACTTTTCAGGCATATACACCAAGACCAACCTAAGTTTTATTTTTGAATTACTAGAAACATCTGCATAATGGCCGGTATTTTTATTTTTGAAAGGAGTCATCATCGTGCGCCGACAGCGGGTCTCCGGGCCTGGCCGTGCCGCATGCCGGGGCACTGGGCGCCGGCCGCGGGCAGCGCGCGGGTGGGCGTGATCGGGCCCGGCGCGGCGGGCGGCGAGCGGGCTCGGGCTGCGCCTCAGTCCGCCGCGCGAGCCCGCCGCGCGCCGCCGTCGCCGGCCCCGCCATGGAGCACTTCATCGAGACCGTGCGCAAGTACCCCTGCCTGTGGAACACCTCCGCCATCGAGTACCGCGACCAGGAGCTGAAGGACGCGGCCTGGGCCGAGGTCATGAAGGAGACGGACCTGTCGTCAGGTGAGCATCGGCCGAGCGAGTAGCGTTGTTGGCGGCTTGGCGCGCGCCGGCTCCGCCAGGCCGAGCGCCGCGCCCCCCGCCCGCGCCCCGCGCGCTTCCCGCCGCGTTCCGTTCGACGCAATCGGCGTCGTTTGCAATGTTGCCGGTTGCATATTGTAAACACACCTAGAAATACATTAACTTGTAAGAACTTCGGTTGTTTCGATTGCCCGGAGTCACGCGACATCGCATGGAAACGCTTGTCCGTGTTTTAAAAGCGTCATTCTACTTAACTAATCGAAAAACGTTTTAATATATTCCTGAAAATGTGGCATATCCGGCATCGTTGTTATTGATTAAATGGGTCAGCCGTCAGCGGGTTATTGATTGAGTGTTTGGTAAGATTTAGTTAGGAATTATCTGAGTAGTAAATGCCTAGGTATTAGGGATCAATTGACATCAATTTACTGTACGAGTAGTAGATCAAATAGCTAATAACATTTCTTAGGAGAGCGGGTTTGATTACCGGTTTGGACGGGTCGACTAATAGGCCTAGTAATTTGTTATTGAATAACTGAATTTGGAACTTTATAATGCCTTAAATATATTGTAACCTCAACTACAGAATAATGTAAATTGGCTCACAACCACCGTAAATTAAACACTGTTAGTCAATAATTGTATGCTTCGCATTGGTAGCGATTAGTGTGTATTTTAGGTAATCAATATTATGCTTTTATCGAGCATGCAATTACTGAAGGTGAGCTTAAAATTAAACAGTTTCGTTCCTTTACAGTGAAAGAAGTGAAACTGAAATGGAAAAAACTCCGCGATAGCTACCGAGACGCACTGAAGAGGCAGAGCGAGATGCTGGCCAAGGACCCGGGCAACGTCGCCAAGAAGAACTACCCCTGGAAGTACATGGGGCTCATGCAGTTCCTGCAGCCCTACATGAGCAACCGCAAGAAGCCGGAGGCCGGCTCCGCGGCGCCGGCGCCGCCCAACGGCCACGCCAACGGCGACGCGCACTCGTCGGCCGACGACTCCGAGTCCGAGGACGGCTCGTCCGCCAAGCGCAAGGCCGACCAGCTGGCGCTCATGGACCGCAAGCTGGACTACCTGTGCAAGGCGGCGGGCAAGCGGCCCTGCACCGAGGCGGCGCTGGAGCGGCGCCGCGAGCCCGCGCCCGCGCCCGACCCGCTCGACATCTTCTTCAACAGCATGTGCCAGTCCACCAAGCGCTTCCCGTTCCAGACGCAGATCAGGATCAAGAAGACCATATTCAACGCCGTCATCGAGGCCGAGGAGGCGCTGGTGGCGGAGCAGCAGAGCTACGCGAGCTTGTGGGCACAGGTCAGTGGAAATACTAAACGTCCACGACGCACAGTAAACGATAACTACACTTAAACTTCTGGGCCCATATAGATTTTGTAGATTGTTTTAAAGATAACTTGAGATTCCACTTCTTGCTGAATTGTAAGCGTTTGATATTAGCGATGACGTGGTATTTATGACATTTTCAGTTGCTAATTAATTTCACTATCTAATACAAAACGGTTATACGAAACACAAAATTTACAAACTCGTAACTCTGTTGCAGGAAGCGGGGTCTTCCTCCAGCAGCGACAACGAGGCCCAGGAGGAGGAGGACACCAAGCCCTGAAGGCCGGCCGCCCCCGCCCCGCGCCCCCTGCTGCTCCTCCCGAGGCACATTAGCTGGTACAGTCTTTGCTCGGGACAATCACGAGAAACATGGGAACTTATTAACCACAGTGATGAGGAACGAAATCCTCTTGTAACTTGTTACTACTGTTTGATAATGCAACCTGCCCATTTATTTGTAATTTCTTTCTTACTTTTGTACATTTAGTTAGGGTTACGTTAAATCTCCTCCTATTTGTTTTTTAATTAAGCTGGGTAGGCAGTATCATAACAAGTAAAATATAATTTCAGCGGCTAAATAAATAGCGCATCAAAATGACCGTTAGTCTATGAATTGTAATTTGTTATTTAATTAATAAGTATTCATTTTCATGTTCCCATATTAAAAACAGTGGTTTATAGCTTTAAAGGTAACGAAATGAGCAAAGAGTATGAATGTGGAGAGTATTTTTACTTTTATAATGAAAAGTCGATGGCTTTGCCAACATTGTAGAGTTAAGTGTTGACGGCGACGAGTCAGTATTTTATAAGTTTTTTTCTGGATGCGGAATTCGACAGCATTTATTTTTCTTTACTATAGAAGTCTTAATTTTACATAAGTATTCTCGTGCATCATACTATACCTATAGGGATACTCATGATAGTGTCACCATAAAATGTAAAGGTCCAATTCAGACTTTTTCCCTTGGCAAAGTAGTATACCGTATACCTAATTAAAGTATGTATGGTACTAAAGACGGAATTGCTATTAATGTACAAGAGTTTAAAATGTGTCATATAGAACGAGTTAATATACATGTCGGTATTGCTAGTGGTAAGTGCAAAGCTGACCTTAGCGCGCACGGCACGCCTCCATAGGATTAGTACCTACCTACTAAATCAGCCCCAACAGGTTTTGCACATGTGTAGAAAGAAAGCACAACACATATTTTATGGTTAAGTTTTTTATACCAGGCAGTGCTATCACACTCAATGTTTTCAAATTCAAATTGTGTTTATTGTGAATTCACAGGTACATAAGTCAGTGTTTGTAGACTGAAATTCGAAAGTCACGAAGTGGTATTATTGAATGTGAGCACTTAATGATTGTGAATCAATACTCTACCTAAATTACGAGCTATGTATGTAGATTGTTGAAACAATCGACAATGAAAGATCTCTGTTTAGTATTTAATATTAATAAAAGTCATTACCTATGAGGACCGTGTATTAATTGAAACCATCAAAACACCTCCAAACAATATCCATTCAATTTTTTTAGGCAAGCTTTCTTCACCATTTACCAAATGTAGTTTTTTTTTTAATTTAACTATTATTCTCTTCTGGGAGTCAGTCAGGGTTTTAATAAGATTTACCCAATGATATTATATAAAAACAAAAGCAGATATGTTATAAGCACTCGCGCTGTGAATACTCAAATACGTCCCAATTGGGACGTCTTGTGTTTAGTCTTCGTGTGGCCTGCGTCGTGCGCAATCGCGTGTACCACACCATAAGTTCCTGTGTTCTTACCAAAATAAATAAAAAATGTCATCGTGTGTGTTTCGAAAGTGTACCAATTATGACTCTAAAGTAAACAAAATACAAGGGATCTCTTACCACATGTGATTATGCAAAATTATTTAGTATTTATATTTTCAATTATTTATGCAAACAATCAAGACGCCATGCGCCATGTTCAAGTTAAGAAAGAGAAAGCGATCTTGTTTTGACGTTAGAGCGATAAGGATGCGTGCGCTGCGGACATAGATTAGTTAGTGCAGAATCGTTAAAACTATAGCTATCTCTTTCATTTGCGTGCTATTTCGTATCTTTTGTTTCACTTATCAGTTACATTTGTCAATGTGTGCAATTTGGAATAGCTCGGCACGGATTAAAATCGTAATTTCTATGAACGTAACATATCTATAGTTCTATAATATCATTGGATTTACCTGTATTCTTATCTACAGGAAATCAATGAATGGAGAGAATCTACCACGAAACATAAAGTAGACCCAACCCAACCCAAAATGGTAAATTCAAAATGTTATTTAAAATGATTCTAAAATTAGTATTCAGTTCAAGTTCACATAGGGTTAGGGGGCCTTCAAAGTTATGCCGGGCCAGGTAGCTAGTAAATCACCACGATCGGCGCCCGCGCATCCTGTTTACTGCGCTCGTAAACACCGCTGAGCTATGACGGTCAGCTGATGGCCGGGGACTGCGACTGCCAAGCAATCTCCACCCTTATCTCGGGCTGCACCGGATCTAACGGTGCGGTGAGACGTCACCGGATCGTGCAACAGCTGTTTTCTGTCAAAGGAAACATATGTTTTGAGCGTACATATGCGCCTGTAAGGGATTCGCGGAAAGGATATAAGCGCAGTTTAGGAATCTATAAATGGAACGAAGGAATTCATGGGAACATTCCTAGTAAATTGCGCTCGTATCCGAGGGCTTACGGGCTTTGCCGGAGGAAAAAATAAATAAAGTTTGTTGTTCGTCAGATCCTACTAAGTTGACTTTGTTTATTACTCACCAACCTATAAACTAAACTGACTTTATGTCAGTTCAAGCACAGTATACAGGGTGGAATTTTGTAATGCCACCTGGAGGAAAAGTACTCTTAGTAGCTACCTACTGTAGATGGAAAATTCTACTCAAAGAAAACATTCCTTTATTTTTGAAAAGAAAGAGAACTGCATTCATTGTGTCATAGTGTCCCTCCAGGTGTCGTTACCAAATTCCACCCTGTATATAATTATTATCTACTGTGGTTCAAGTAAGCCTTACCTAGCGTAAGCGATCATAAAATGTATTTGGTCTTGAATGGATAATCCAGTTCGCACATTTGATCAGAAATGTACGAGTATTTTAAAATAATCCTTTAAACATAATACATAGTCAATTAGTCATAGTCATAAATCTTTACTGCATCATGTTGGTATAATATGTCACAGATAGAACCCGTTTTCAGTTAAAACTAGTTTTCACCAAATACCTTCGGAGTTTGGAACAACTAGTTTTAACTAGGGAAAACGCGTTGTTTTAAAATGATTCAGTTAAAATTGTTTCATTCAACTAATACATAGGGAAAACGCGTTTTCATTAAAAACAGGTTTTAACATTAAATACTTTACTTAATGACTTTTACTTTGCTGTGATTTTCAACTATTTTTTTTTTGTAGAGTTTGTTGATTCGGTTCTCGCACCATATAATAATTACAACACAATAATAATTGTATGTTGGATGGGACATTGTATTGAACATATTCCTACAGGGTGGAAACGATAAGTGATCTCACTCGATTATTTCTAAACTATACAAGATATCCAAAAACTGGTTACTGATCCTGAAAGTGATTCACGAGCTCTATCCAACGGTACCAATAATAGGTTACAAAATAAACTGAATCTGTCTGAAAATTCAATGTTTCCAGCCTCCATACATTTAGTAAAACCACATTATATTAAAAACTGTACAAGATATCTAAAAACTGATTACTGATCCTGAAAGTGCTTCACAAGCTCTATCCAACAGTACCAATAATAAGTTATAAAATAAACTGGATCTATCCGAAAATTCAATGTTTTCAGCTTCCATACATTTAGTACTGCCACATTCATGGCACTCATATCTTGATAATATTATAGCAACTAAAAGCCTTAAACCAATGTTTTCCATGAATAATTTTAAATAAGAGTGCAATTTACGAGTTAATTTTAAGTGTTTATTATTTTAAATAAAAAAAATTAACACTAATATTGTGTGGCTGGCATAGTGGCATACATTTAGTATGGAGGCTGAAAACATTGAATTTTCGGATGAATCAAGTTAATTTTGTAACCTATTATTGATATCGTTTGAAAAAGCTCGTGAAGCACTTTCAGGATCAGTAATCAGTTTTTCGATATCTTGTATAGTTTAGAAATAATCGAGTGAGATCACTTATCGTTTCCACCCTGTATAGATTTATTTTCGTCAATAATGTTTTCACCTGGTAGTACCAATGCCGGTTATTGTATAATGCATGTACCTACTTAATATTTACTGGGCTTTCTAGCTTGTAGAGAAAATTACCACATAATTTCAATCAAAATGGTATTTTAGGGGTCTTTCAATGCGTGTTACCGGTCTTAGTAGTTAGTAGTAGGTATTTTTATGGAATATTTATTAATTTATTTATTCCAAACTTATAACTATCATTACAGAATGACAGCTAATGCTAATAGTAAAACTATAACAGAATTTTTAAAATAAAATTTCGTTATCTAAATAAACTTCAATAAAATAAATAATTGAATAGATACGAGAATGACACGTGATTACCGAATAAAATTCATTTGCTAAAAACAGATTCTAAATGAATAATCAAGTAAAGCTTAGCATCGTATCAAAGTCCCTAACGACTGTCGGCACGGGCGGAGGTGCTACACAAAGGGCGGCGGGCCTACAAAGGGCTTGTGCGCGGATGAACACATACAGAACTATAAATATTGCCGACTGGAGCATGCAGATAACAGGATTTATTAATTTATTATTATCAATTTATTTATTAGTAGTATTATGAAAGCTCTACATTACATAGGTACTTTTCAAAGCGTGTCTAGTGTGTATAATAGTGAAGTTTTCTTGCAGTACCTCTAACTAACAAAGCTATAAGCTCCTCTACCTATTTAATTTACACCATTACAAATTATGACTACATGCAGATTTTGAATTTTATGTGAGAGTTGGAAATCGAAGCCGTTTTCAGTTCCCGAAATCGTTAGCCTACCTTTCACTAACAGAGAGTGATTGTGTAAAAACTGCAACTGCAGTATAGATAAATAGATGATTACAATTCGGAGACTGAAAGAATTTTAACATACATAAATAAAAGATACTTAGATAGATAGAGCTCTATATCCCAAATGTAAGCTTGTAAGATATAAAGATGTCACTTTGGAGTCGGTGTGAAACATACGACGCGAATGTGATACTGACGCCATTGTTAAACAATTGCCGCGCATTAGCATAATGAGTGTGCACGTGAGTGGCGCCGCGATATTGCCCGCCGCACCAGCTCCTCGTAGCCCCTGTTCCCGAGGGCATAAGGCTCACAATCATTTAATACGCGAGACTAATGACAACACCAGATGTCCCATCGCGAGGATTAAAACTCTACAAAGTACCGTTTTTAGTTTATGGCCAAAATAATAAGTGTGCCGACTATATTTACCAAAAAGAAAAAATGGTGCGGTCGCTTAATTGCTCATTAAATCAAGATAGAGTTACACCCTCCCTCCGCGGCTACTATTCCTGGACTCGGCGCTGCGAGGAGAGAAAAATGGATTAAGGGTTTGAAGGTGTCTCTAATTTATCGGCGCAATATCCTCCGTAAGTTTTAATATATCGCTTTGGAGCTGGCACTTTGTATTTAAAAATATTCTCTACCTTTTGAACATAATGATAAATGAATTCAAGCCGAACTAACAATTACAGTTACGAAACGATTCTTACTAATTTTAATGAAAATCTGATTTACCTACTACGATAAATTCATGCTACGAGATTGCTTCAGATCAGAATAAATTGAGATTGAGATAACTTTGGTCCTTGCATGATTATAACCCTTTAGGAGTTTAGAAATAAGGATTGAAAATTACTCATTTTAACTACTTGGATATTATTGAGTATCTGGGTGGGTCTATCAATACTAGCCCACGAATTCAGTTGCTCAACTGCTACATAAGCGACTCTACATTAGTAGAAAAAAACCCTGCGAGTACTTACTTAGTGCTATTACAATCTATTGAAATATTTAACTTGTGCAAAATAATGTTAATTCTTTAACAGTTAACTCGACGTGTCGTGTGATAAGGAGACATAACTGTACCTCTAGTACGAAAAACTTTCGAGTTCGTTTCGTTGCGTATTCAAAGTGTCATCGAAAAATTTTGTATGAAAAATTAAACAACGCCCCCTAGGGCGGCTATAATATAGGGGGCGCTGTTTAATTTTTCATACAAAATTTTTCGATGACACTTTGAATACGCAACGAAACGAACTCGAAAGTTTTTCCTACTAGAGGTACTGCTGTGCTGTGAAACTCTTCCGCTACTACATCCATCACTTTTCACATACCACCGCACTCGTTTCGCCTAAGATAG